TTTTTTTTTTTGAATTCTTTTCTCATATGTAGGATTCACTTTATCTCTAACGGTAAAAAAAAAATCAATTATCAAAATCCTACCAAACAAGCACATAATTTCATATCTGATTATCAAACTATGATAATATCTGCTATTCATGTATGTTTTAGGCCTCGTTTGATGTCCATTTTTTTCAAAATGCATTTTTCTTTTTTTCTTTTTTTAATCACACATTCTTTATTAAAATAATATTACACGTAAATAAAAAACTTTTCCTTCTTTTTCAATCACATATTTTCCATCAATTTACTGATCTAAAATACATTTTTACATAAAACTAACTCTCAAACACCCTCTTAATATTTAATTAAATCAAATTAGAATTATTCCTCTTTGAAATCAGACAAAAACGGTGAAGACTGTTTTATCTCCATCCATAACAAGTTCAGTTCATTGGTGGTGATTTCTGGTTGCATATTTTATACATTGTCAGAGCTCTTTTGTAAATAGGTCTCGTGACGAGCATGTTCAGTAGGTTACACAAAAATCGACAAATACAATAAAAAAAGAAAAATCAGTTTCTTTGACAAATTTAATAATTTTATTAAATCTAAAAGGTAACTACGACCAGAATTTACATTTCAATTTTACCTTGCCGTGGATCAAATCTAACTTTTTTACTTTCATTTTTCCCCATGCGCGAAAATATTAATTTTTGCAAATTATGAACCCTAGATCTCAATCTTTCCCTATTTTAGTTTTAGAAACGTCAAAATTGTGAATATAAAATTTTACAAAATAAACATCAACTAGTGGTTAATATGAGTGCGAAACGAAATCGGTCACTTCTAAACATTAAATAAGGAGTCGTACTCTTTTGCGTGTTTGACATACTTTTTTCTTGTCTTTAATTTCTATTTGTCATCAAGCAATACAAATTGAGAACCACGTTAACATCAATTTAAGCAACTTATGTGTCTTTTTTTTTTTTTTTGATTGGACCTCTTCAACTTATTATATTTGTTTCCATCTATGGGTAGAGGAAGATCTTTCATCGACTTTTAAAACCTTCTTATATTTATCAAAAAATATGTTTTAGGTGTGCCACCTTAATTTCTAAATCGTTGCACCCAAAAGAGAAGCAAAATAATCATTTCCGACCACTACTACATATAATTTATCAAAATTTTGAATAATTTCTAAAGTTAGTGCATAGTCATCAAATATGTATAAAAGGAAACAAGCACCCAAACTCATAAAAGGACTTCCGCGTTTAATTTAAGCAGTGTGATTACGTGTTTGGCTGAGCTTAAAAAATTACTTATAAGAATAAAATAATTCCTTATTGATCAAATTCAAAAATAAGTAAATTTATTTTAAATGTTTAGTTACTGTAATTGAGTTTAATGAGTCACTTATATATATTAAAGTCATATTTGATCTCAATATCATCATGAAGCACCTTCTCCCGAAAAAAAAATGATAGTCAATCTATCTAATTAAGTTCAGTTGCAAAGATGGCCATAGACCTGTATTCGACTTATGGCTTCTTGATGTTGGAAAATAGATAATTAAAAAAAAAAAAAGTAATTTTTATCCATCTTTGACCAAATAGTTAGATGGGTCTCGTTACTGGAATTTGGCAAAAAATGGGTCGAACACGTTCTACTTCTTGAGTATATGGGTTTGGTATATTTGGAAGTCAAAAATATTTTCGGATGAATGAGAAATTAGTGAATGAAGTATAATTGAGAAACATCATTTTTGAAATAATTAAACGAAAATTCAAAAACCTAAAACGACTACTCAAACGACCGCCTTGTTTGCAGCAAGTGGTCTAGTTACTCAAAAAACTGCTCAAGCGGTGAGGCTAGCAGTCAGCGAGCGGTTAGTGAACCTGTGCAACCTTTTGTGAACAAGTTGATTTTTGGGTTGTGTCTTATCGACCGCAATCAATCAATTTCTATAAATTGGACTCCTAGTAATTGGTAAGAAATTTTGTGATGGTAGTGGTTTGTGCGAATCATGGGATTGGATTGGGTGGAGAGCCACAAGAAGTCGAAAAGACCTTTCTTTCTCTATTTTCTAATTTTTTATCAAGTTTATTAAATTTTGATATATTTTTATTTTTTAAAAAAATTTAGGGCTCATCACTCATGCTTCTATTTTCATTTATTTTATTATTAGTTGTGCGTATTTAAAGAATGAAAATTCATCATTTTACATGGTTTTAATGATCAAAATGAACCAAAAGCACTGAGTTCTAATATATTTATAAAAGTAAAAATATCTATTACTTAAAAAGGTTAAAAGATAAATTAGTAATCATTTCAAGATTGACAACAAAAAGTGTAACATTTTCAAATCTAGATACCTAAATTTGAATGTATTAATATTTCATTGTCTCTTAAAATCATAAATGTAGAAGCAATTAAATTTTTCTTCATTATGACGAACATCGACTTCATTTATGAACAAGGGCAGACCGAGGGGTCCCATAGGGTCACTTGACTCCCAAGTTTTTGGGGGGGTTTTTTTTAAATTAATTTATTAAAAGTTAATAAAAATAGAGACAACTCACAAGTCGCAGCAGGCCATTCTCTTTCCCTCCCTCCCTCCCTCCCTCCCTCCTTACGCCTTTGCTTAGGGATGTCAATTGGGCCGAGCCGGCTCGCGGCTCGTTGGCTCGGCTCGTGGAAAAGAGGCTTATGGGCGGCTCGGGCTAGTGAAATCACGAGCCCGAGCACGAGTTGAGCGGACCTCGCCGGGAGCCGAGCCCGCTCAGTTCGCCATTTAGACGAGCCGCTCGTGGGTGAGCTCGGCTCGTGGCTCAGTGAGCCAGTGACCAAAACGGTCACAAAAGTGACCGTTTTGGTCACTTTTCAGTGACTGTTCTGGCCGCCAGAACAGTCGCTGAACTTTTATTCAGTGAGTTCAGTGACCGTTTGGTCACTGAATTTTATTTTTATTTTTTTAATTCCCCCTCCCCCTTTTTCTACTATAAATACCTCCTTCCCCCAAAGATTTTTTTTCATATCAGTCGCTCTTCCAAGATTACAACCCTCTCAACTCTCTTTTATTATATCAATTATCGAGTTTTTACTCTCTTGTGCTGTAAAATATACAATATCAATTCAATTTTTACAGTTTATTAGTTACGATTTCAATTCATCCAATTCTCAATTCTCACAATCGCACTACATTTATATTCATCTAGTCAAGATTTTATCATAAATAATCACAGAAATTGATCAACATTCATTTGTTGAGAGCTTGTTTGATACAGGATGTGAGCCACATCATGGAGAATCGCCTAGGACAAAGTGATCTTATTTGAGAAAACCAAAGAGAGAAAATTCTTGAATCACTCAATGTTGGTAAAATATCAAGCGAACGAGGTCTCGATCAAGAAATTACACTTTAGCGTAGGGATGTCAACAGGGCGAACCAATAAAGTGAGCGAGCTTTTTTCCGAGGCCCGAGCTGGCTCGGCCAAACAAATTAAGCTCAATTTGAGCATTCAGCTCAGGCCTTGCAGGCTCACTTTTTGTTGCTCTTTATTTTTTATTATTTTTATTATTATATTAATAAGGCATCCGCCTATTAAGGCAGCATTTCGCTACCTTTAAACATGCATTGATAACTATTATTAAACAAAATGCATGAGCCCATTTACATCATAAATTTACTGTTAATTACAAAAATTATTTGGCAAAATAAATAAACTATTCTTGTAACTTAATGAGAGGCTTGAAACGTTTCATAACGATATAGTAGAGAGGAAATACTTTAGGCGTGTTGAGTTGTTCTTTTGATTGCAATGAATTAAGAATGATTTATAAGTAAAGGAAGGTGCAAAAATAATGTCTCTCTAGTTTTTAGTGTCATTAATTAAGGATAAAATTATACTAATGGAGTAATTAACAAATCTGTTGAGTTGACTTCGCTGCTGGTGCAATTCATCTTTATAATAAGGACCGGTAACATGTCATACCAATAGTTTAGACAGATACATTTTTTTAGCAGCCTGTCTGGCCCCCATTTTTAGACCATGTTTGATTGGTTTAGATTTTATGGAAAATGAAATTCGAATTCCACTTTCTTCCAATTTTGTTTGTTTGATAGGTTTTGAATTCCACGGAATTTGGTTTCTTGATTTTCCTTGAAAACCAATTCTAGTTCCCTGTTACATTTTATTTATTTATTTTTATTTTTTTGACAATGGAAACAAATTTTAAGAATTATTGTAAAAAAATATTTCACTTTAATTGGTAATTTTCATGTAAAATAAAGTCAAACGAATACCAAAAAAATTATATATATATATATTATTAATATTTTTATTTTATTTATTTATTTATTTTTTTGCAATGAAAACAAATTTAATTCTCAATACCAATAAAATTTATTCCTTTAATTGACAATTTTTATGTAAAATAAAATCAAACGAAAACTAAAAAACACCTTTATTTTAACATTTTTCACTTAAAAAATTATACTAATCAAACACAATAATTTACAATTTTCAAAAAAATTATTTCTAAATAATTCAATTCTTTAAAATTCGTTTTCACTTCACCTCAATTTCATATTTGCAATTAAATCGGCCTGTTAATTTTTTCTCACTTTTCAAGCATTTGTGGGCCCCAAGGTAAAACAACTTCCAATTAATTCTGACAATGTACATTCCGCATGGCGTCAAAAAATGGAAGTGACAGTTGCCATATTTTTAAGTCCCTATCAATGCCCATCAATTTTTGTGCGTTGGGTGTCATGTGTACATTTCCAAGTAAGATCCGAGGGCAAAATGGACAGTCCATCTCAACGGCATTTCACTTAAAAAATACATTCTGACTCAATTTTGACCTCTTTTCATGGATTGTCATGTTGCTACTGTATAAAAATGAGAACCCGGTAAAAAAAAACTCATTAAAAGGAGTGTCAAACGGGGGCCTATAAAGCATGGTTAGATACAACGACGATAAATAATTATATTAATTAAACATTAATATATAACATTAATATATAATATAGATGCAACTTTCCACATTAATTTTCAAATTTGTGCCGATTACGTAACACATGATACAGTTACGCACGTCTCAAGTTTCGATGCTGCGAAGTAAGAACAAATTATTGTTGTGGCCGTGAAAGATCAGCCATGCATCCTGATAATCTCGTCTACAAAATCTTGCATATTCTTATCGGAGGACCCACCGGCTTCCACCGCCGCCTCCGCCGCTTTTTTGTACTTGAGTGCATTTATTTTGATTTCCTCCGCCGTCGAGCCGCTCGTGGCCTCACGCAAACATTTCTCAACCTCATCTCGAGGAATTATTCTGTTCTCGGCTTCACCTCTGCACATTCTAATTCCAACTTTGAACACATCCACTAGGTATTTTGCATCAGTAACTTGATCACCCCATTGAGGAAACGCCACCACCGGAACGCCGCTGGTGAGCGCCTCCATGGTGGAGTTCCATCCGCAGTGGCTTACGAAACAGGCAACAGATGGGTGGTTCAAAACCTGTTCTTGTGGACTCCACTGCACTATCTTGCCTGTTGAAGACCAAAGTTATACACTTGATCCAAAAAATTAATCTTGACTGTATTAAATTTTAAGATGAGATGATACGTGTCACCTTTATCACCAGCTTTTTCCAAAAACTTTTCCGGCAAAGCAACTCCAGGGAGGCCTAATTTTTCCCGGTGCGGCTTCATGACCCACAAAAATGGAACTTCTGAATTTAAAATCCCGTATGCTATTTCATCAATTTGTTCTTGCTTCAAATTAACAACACTGCCAAACGAAATGTACACAACGGAAGACGGCGGTTTGGAGTCGAGCCAATCAATACAATTATCGACGGCAACGAAGTCACCACGAACATTTAAGATTGAAGTTTTAGGGTCTTTGAAAAGTGGTCCCACAGTCTTTATGGGGCAAATCTTGGACATGTAAGCAATGATCTCCTCTTCGAGTTCTTGAAAAGTGTCCATCAGTATGCAAAAGGGTTTCGAAAGATTTTTATACTGTCCTAAAATT